CCCAGAATTCCCTTTGCTAACATGTATGGGAACCTGGAGGACCATTTAGAGGTGTCTGAAAGCTACCAGCAGTGGAAGAGGAATGTGTGTGTGGAGTCCGGGGAAAGTGAGAATAGGCTGAACCTCAGCTAAGGGCTGTTTGGGTTGGAGTCCAGGCAGGCCTGGATTAAAGACTATAGGGGCTCTGTGCACTGTGAAATTTGAGGGTCCCCCCACCTTCCATAAACTAGACAGCAAAAGGCTCCCACCCCACACAGACCCCCGGATGTCCCTCCCATCCCACCCGACACATATCCCTCCCCTCAGACATACCCTCCAAACTCCCCTCCTTCCCCACACATATCCCGGCAGCCCTGACATACACCCGGCTCGCCGCAGCCCCCCACACCTCAGTGCCCCTGGGCACAGTCTGCAAAATCCCAGCCCCCAACCCCTTCTCCCCAACACCCCCATTCTCCCCAACTCATCCCAACTCCCAGCATTCCCGTCACCCCCAGCCCTGCCCCCGCACCTCCCCAACCCACCCCAAAACTCACCAGCAGCACCTTACCCACCTCCACCGGGCCCTTCCTGGCCACTCACCAGCGCACCCCCTGGCTCAGCAATCGGCTCCCATCCCGAAAGAAATCAACTTGTCCTGACCTTGGCCACCCAACTCCGCACCCTCCCACCACCCAGCCCTCACTCGCACGACCCCGCGCCCAACCCTCCATTGTGACAGAGGCGACGCGGGGTGGGTTGGACGGGCCAAATTTGAGTGAGTGATGTTGCGACCTGGTCCATGGAATTGCAGGGGCCCCATGCAAGTGCAGCTAGTACACATTGGCTAGTCCAGGTCTGAGTCCAATAAACATTTCCTTCCTTCTGCAAGGCAGTGTGGTCTACTGGTTTGGCTACTGCATTGGGAATGAGGGGCACTCAGTTCTATTCCTACTTCCACCACTGACTTTGGGCAAGTATCTGCTGTGCGCTGAGCCTCAGTTTCCCCATGTGTGCAAGGGAGAGCAGAATATTTTCATATTCCTTCATCAGGTGCTCTCCAGCAGGTAGTGGAGAGGAAAGCTGATCTATTATTGTGGGGAGGGGTTTGTGAGCCTGTGAATTTGTGTGGAGGGTGGAGGGAGTGGACTACGGGGCTAAAAGGGCCAATGGCCTCATTCATTGCAGAGGAAAAGGATTAGCTGGCTAGTGATCTGGGGCATGGGGCACTGGACTAGCTGGCCAGTGATCTGGGGCAAGTGGGTATTGGGCACTGGACTAGCTGGCCAGTGACCTAGGGCAGGGAGACATGGGGTAACCGGACTCGCTGCCCAGTGATCTGTCTGGCATAGGCAGAGGGCAGGACACTTGCCCCGATGGGTCATTTCTCTGATCTCAGTCAAGCCTCTCTCCTTTCTGTCCCCGCCCTTAGCTGGTGAGCCTGGACTCTCTGCTGTGTCACCTCAATCAGTTCTGTGGCAGCTCCGTGCAGAGAGACCCAGCACCTCCTGCAACAGAGGAAGCAGGGCCGGCTCTTGGCACCAGCGCTCCAAGCATGTGCTTGGGGCAGCACTTTCCAAGGGGCGGCACTCCAGCCCCCCCTCACTTTTTTTTTCTTGGGGCACAAAAAGCCGGAGCCGGCCCTGAACCAAGATGTTCCCTGTCAGCTGACAGGTTTCAGAGTAGCAGCTGTGTTAGTCTGTATGCATCCGAAGAAGTGGGCTGTAGCCCACGAAAGCTTATGCTCTAATAAATCTGTTAGTCTCTAAGGTGCCACAAGTACTCCTGTTCTTCCTGTCAGCTGAGGCTTTCAGGCTGCGCTGGAACTGACACTGCAGTTCTGGCTGCAGTCGCTAGATGGCGCTCAGGGCAGCCGGAGTCGCACAGGCTGGACGGCAGTTCAGGCTGCCCGGCCGCTGGAGAGCCGGAGCGTCATCTCCGGAGCTGAGCCCGGCTCCGAGCGGGGCAGCGGGGGATACTGCCTTGCCGGGGGACCCCCGCAGCTCGGGCACCTGGGGGTCAGTGTCTGTCCTCTCGGCTCTGCCTGCACGGGGCTGGGGAAGCAGCTGTCAGCGCCTGCCCCTCTCAGCCCTTGCACCCCCCATCCCGCTCGCAGCCCCTCCACTTGTACCTCCCCCATCGCTCCTTTGCCTCACCCCTTCCCCTTGTACTCTCCTTTCACCCGCATCTCTCCCCTTGTACCCTCCCACACCTCCTCCTTCCCCTGCACCTCTTCTCCCGCAACCCTCCTGATACCCCCTCTCCTCCTCCACCCTCCTCCGCGAGTACATCACACCCCGCCTCTCTGCCAGTGTAGAGCCCCCAAGCACCCCCACACCTGCCCCTCTGCCTGAACCCTCTTTACTAGCTCCCCATCCCTTTCCGGGTACAAGGTTGGAGGGTTAGTCCCTATGCCTTCCATGTGCATTTGGAGCACTAAAGATGGGGTTGTGGGGGCGAGATTTATACTAAAGTGAAATAAAAATAGGAGAAACGGTTTGATCCCCACTGCAAGTGTAAATGGGGTTTGCTGTGGTGAACAAGGAGGTCATGTTTGCGGGGGAAAGCTGAGGGCTGGGGCATCAGGGGGTGCGGGTGGGGGAGGGCACTGGTGGGGGGGGAAGAGCCCAGGGCTGGGGTGGGGGGCAGCCAAATTTTTTTTTTTTTGCTTGGGGCGGCAAAAAACCTAGAGCCGGGCCTGAGAGGAAGGTCTGGGAGCTGCCTGGTGCCAACCGCCCCCTGAGGAGCTAGGGCCCAGGGGCTGGGTGCTGTCGCCCCAGGGCACCTCATTAGGCATCGGGGTGCAGCGCACCGGGCATTGTTGCGTCGAGAGGGGACTCTGGGTCTCATTAAAGACACTTGCTGTTTGTGACACAATGACGCTGACAAGCCCATGGAGGGGCCAGGCAGGTCATTAACATATTTTTCTGTGCCAGGTTGAGAAGTGAATCAAAGGGCGTCAAGAGAGACCCAACCTCAGGGTGCGTTCCACATGCTGGGGAGGAGCGCAGCACAAAGACATCTAACAGGAACATACCAGTCCCCAGGCTGGATCCCACCCGGGTCCTTCCAGCCCCCCTCCAATGCTGGCCCAGCTTCAGGGGACGTGTCAACACACACCTCGTGGACAGCTGAGAAATGTCTTACTAACCCCTGTCAGCGTGATTCACTTACACCTTAGGGAATGACACCTCTACAGAAACACGGTCACGCTGTTCTGTGCCACTGAACTTTTCCTCCCTCACCTCCAGTGTAAATCAGGGATAAAACCATCAGTCAGGAGTGCTGAATCTCCTCATGCCCAGACGTTTTCAAAACCATGAACTCAGCGATGATCTAGGGATGGGGTATGGGGTCTTTTTTCCTCTAGGGGGCTCCGGCCCAGCCCCAAGTAGAGGGCACTGGCTGAGACATGTGTGTATATCAGGGGTTCTCAAACTTTTTTGGCTGGGCCCCCCCTTGAAAATATTTCAGGCTGTGATGACCCCCTCCCCCCCCTCCTCCCACACACACTTGGTACCAGACATCGCTTTCCCAACATCAGTGCAGACAGGGCTGGCTCCAGGCACCAGCTTAACAAGCAGGTGCTTGGGGCGGCCAACGGAGAGGGACGGCACCTGCAGCAATTCGGGGGCAGCAGGTCCCTCACGTCCTCTAGGAGTGAAGGACCTGCCGCTGCACTGCCGCCGCCGATCGCGGCTTTTTTTTCGCTTGGGGCGGCAGAAATGCTGGAGCCGGCCCTGAGTGCAGATCCCTCTAGACCAGGGGTGGGCAAACTACGGCCCTGCCTGTCCTGCCCGGCCCTTGAGTTCCCGGCCGGGGAGGCTAGCCCTGGCCCCTCCCTCACTGTCAGGGCCGGTGCAACCATTTAGGCAAACTAGGCGGCCGCCTAGGGCGCCTAGTGGTTGGGGGGCGCCTAAAAGCCGATCAACGTGGTGCTCGGGCACCAGCAATATTCAGAGCCAAGGACTCAGCTCCAGCAATACTTGGGCCGTTTGTCCCCCCGGCCCCACCTGCAGCTCTCCCACGCCTTCCCCGAGTGTCCCCTGGCCCCGACTTGCTCCCCCTCACTCGCCTTTCACGCCTCCCCCGAGTCTCTGTCCGGAAGCAGAGCCTGTCTGTTAGGGTTACCATACGTCCGGATTTTCCTGGACATGTCCGGCTTTTTGGGCCTCAAATCCCCGTCCGGGAGGAAATCCCAAAAAGCCTGACGTGTCCGGGAAAATAGGGAGAGAGGGACCGGTAGTGCTTGGCCGGGGGCCGGAGTTGCTGGGGCCGGCGGTGTTTGGCCGGGGGCTGGGGCCAGGCCAGGGCCGGCAGTGCTCGGCTGGGGGACGGGGCCGGCGGTGCGGGGCCAGCGGCTGGGGGCCGGCCCGAGGTCAGCAGTGCTCGGCCGGGGGCCGGGAGCCAGCACCCCAGGGCCCGAGCCGAGCCGGGCGGGAGATGCCGGGGCCAGAGCCTCTTGGCCTGGGCCGGCTGGGCGGCCACCGGAGGGAGCCGCTCGGCCAGGGGAGCCGGACTGGGCCGCGCCTCCTCGCTCGCGCGCCCCAGCCCCAGCTTACCTGCTGCCTGCCTGCTTCAGGCTTCCCGCGAATCAAATGTTCGTG